CAAATCCAACGGTGAAAGCAAAAGCAAAAGTTCCAGCAGCGGCAACGAAAGCAAAACGAAAGTGAAGCGGTGGAATTCCAATAGAAAGAATGCGTTGATCGATGGACCAAAGCAGGTAGCTGCAAAGCGAACGAGAATGCAAGCGCCGTTGAATGCGTTGTGGGTGACAAGCGAATGATAAAATTAAGCGAGAACGGCGAGAGCAAGGCGAGGACAACGATCCCGCGATCTAGACGAACAATTCTGATTCGGTTTTCGGCCTTTCGATTGCAGCTGCGAGACGAGCGAATGTTGTAATTGTTGGCTTTGTAGATTGCGATTAGCTTAATTGTTCACAGAAGAATTAACATAACACACATGCCCCACGTTGGGCTCCAAAATGTTTGTACACGGAGCGTTTTTCGCATTATTGTTAATTCACGGATGGGGGTGTGTTAGTTTTTTCTGCAAACGAATCAAAGTCTATACAAGAAAGAGAAAAGTCGATCGATCCAGTTGAGTATTAGGGAATAACTATTTATTACAAATCTTAGTGCTTGAGTACTGGGCATAAGAGAGAGAATACAGTGGTGAATTTAGTACAATTATGGTGAGAGGAAATACAAAAAGTGAGCGTAGGCTCTCTATTTTACGAGGGTCATTTGAATACTTGTTCCTTAAAGGAGTTTGACCGAACACCGACCATGAAACCTGTGTGTTAGAGAGAGACAGAGCGAGAAAGAGTGAAATTGTTTTCTTGATTCTGACTATAATAATTATACGATCTCGTTCAGATTTTGCACTCTGGAAGATATAGTCATCTTCTACGATTCTGCGTTTTTAGTTTTCTTGTATCGTCTTTTCGCCCTTTGTGGGGGCGGAAGTGGGCGGGGCAAAGTTTTGAAATATTCTTGTAGCAGTGACATATTACAGAAGTCTGGATCCAAAACATCGTTGCTCTAGCTCTTATAGTCTTTGAGCACTAGGCGCTGAAGGGGACGGACAGACGGACGGACGGACAGAAAGACATGGCTCAATCGACTCGGCTATTGATGCAGATCAAGAATATATATACTTTATGGGGTCGGAAACGATTCCTTCTGGACGTTACACACATCCCCTTTTACCACAAATCAGTATTTCGACTTTTTGTTAATGCGCTAGTCACATGGAGTTCGCATAGTTGTGTCCTTTTAAGCAGAATGATTTTCTTATTCTAACATTTTTAGTATGACTAATATTTTTATTATTATGACTTATATTTGTATTATGAATACTAATACTCATTCTAATTTTTTTTTTTATTATTATTTTTTTATAATAATTTTTTTTTTTAGGGGTTTATCAAGTGTTTTTCTAATTTATCCCTAAATTGCGTTGCTCTACTAATATTTTTTTAATATTGAAAGGTAACTCATTCCATAACCAAATAGCATTTGTTAAAAATTGTTTTCCTGAATTGGCGAGTTTGTACCTTATGGTTACCAGATTCAACGTTCTATTTGATGAAGCAAAGGTTAATTTATCATATAAGTAGCTCGGCTGTCTGGTATAGATTATTCTATGTAGAAAAATAATTGTTCTGTACCCTATCCATGTCTTTAAATCCATTTTGAATATTTATCTTGCTAAGATTGAGATATGATCGGTCCGTCTCTTATTATATATGTAGCGGGCATTGTTGTTAAATGTTACTTTTAGTTTTTTTGAGATTCAGCGTCACAATTTCGAAATATTTCAATACCATAGAATAAGGTGGGTGTCAAATATGTCTTAGCTATCATTAGTTTGAGTATATCTGGTAGGTATTTTTGTGTTAATGCGAGTTTTCTTAGTAGGCTATATGTTCTACCAGTAGCAGTATGTTCTACCAGCTATATGTTCTACCAAATAGTGAATACTTGGTTACTCCAAGAAAGCGTATTGGAGTAGCCAAAAGCAAGAAATCAATTTGCAGTGGCTACGCAGCGCCCGACGTCACGCTCAGACTGATTTTCTGTCTCTCTCGCACGCACTCTTTGTCGTGTCGTTTAATATTAGCGGCGTCTGCCGGAGGAGAGCCATACTGACTATGTATCGGGTATAAATGTAGAGTTGCGGTCTCCGCAGCAACTCACAACGTTCCCCCTCGTTAATCTTTGCTCTGCGGGGCCTTAACTGGGATGCGGGTGTAAGACTTCCATCTTACTCTAGTAGACTACTATTAGTAAACCTCCCATCCTTAGTTAACCGTAGAAGAATGCTTGGTGTGATATTTATGCACAACTTGATCAGGGGTGACATAGACAGCCCTGATCTGTTGAGCCGCATATACTTCACAATTCCTATTAGACTGACTAGCAATTAGATACCGTTGTTCCTTCCACTTTGTAGATCGAATTATTCCTTGCTTGAACCGTTTAGAGTCTAATGCTCGGATTATAATTCCCTCTACCATATTATATCCACCACTTATTCTCTTCCTCTTATTAAATTACTAAGCCTTACACACCATTCTAGAAATTAGTAATTGTAGTGGTATTTGTATTTTGATTGCATGCTTAGTTTCTTAGTAAGTTTAGTGCTCATTTTCCTCGAATGTTAGTCTAATAGCTATCTTTCTTGCATGTTCGCGTTTGGTTCGGCTACGCACCACGCGTCATGCGGCAGCGCCCCTCGGTCGGTTGGGCGGGAGGAGGGCTGCGTTTTGCCTGGGATCCGCGCGTAACAGCCTTCTGCTAGTTTCACACTGGCCACTTGAGGGTGCAATAGCTGCATCGCCTCTTGAAAGATGCAGTCATTGCATGTCAACGTCCAAGATAGGGAGTCTAGATTGTCAAATATAGAAAAGTTTAATTATTTTCTGACCTGCCTCACGGGGCCGGCACTGGATACAATTCAGGCATTTCAGGTTACAAGCGAAAACTATCCGAAGGCCCTAAAAAAAATCATTAGCCGTTTTGATAATCCTACTCTTATATTTTTAGAAGGTATTGAGACAATGTTTGCACTAAAACCTGTGGAAAAGTCAAACAGTCACCAGCTTCGCAGCCTAGTCTATAAGGCATCCGCTATCTTGAGTTCGTTGGAGTCAATCAGCAAACCTGAGAATATTGTTCACTCTATGGTTATATTTATTGTAATGTAAAATCACTAACTGCCCTCAGCTCAAGGCTATGAACAGCAACCAACGGTACGACAATGCAAAACGCCTCGGTCTTTGCCTCAATTGTCTTGGAAGCGGTCATAGAGTGTCACAATGTTCATCGACTCATCGTTGCCAATCCTGTAATCGGACTCATCACTCATCTTTGCATCACTCTCAGCCGCAACAGTCACCCCAATCATCAGCAGGACAATCTTCAACGACAGAACCGGTACTCCAACCAGCAACCCTCCTGACAAACGTCTGCTACTCAGTCTCATCAAGCTGCTTCACACTGTCATATGGAGATCGTAGCAGATGATCAACTTTTGTTGGTAACAGCTATGGTGTTGGTAAAGGATTCCTCAGGTGAATACAAACTCGGCAGAGCGTTGCTTGATTCATGTTCTCAGGTTAATTTTTGTAACCGAATCCTTTGCACAGAAACTTCGCCTTCGTCGTGAAAGACACCACATTGGAATTCGTCGTATAGGAGACTCCCTTACTAGTTTGAAGGCTCGTACGACTATCTCTATTAAGTCACATACATCTGGCTATCAGCTCACTCTTACAGCTCACAGTTGGGAATTACATCCCATATTGCCTACCTGCCAAATAGTGAGATCGACATGTCGAATTGGAACCTACCTGCCAACACTCCATTGGCTAACGAATCATTCTATAGGACTAAACGTATTGATCTGCTACTGGAAACTGAAGTCTTCTATGGAGCTCTAGCTGTTGGCCAGATTCGCATTGGTCCAAATCTTCCCACTTGGCAGAAGACTCTTTTTGGTTGGGTTGTTGTTGGGAGGTACCAGCGCCAACATAACAGACAGCCACCATTGTTCTTGGCGACTGTAGAAGAGTCGATCGACAAGAATTTGCAGCAATTATGGAAAGTGGACTCAATTGTCGATCCAAGCGCTACAATTCTTCCAAATCATCGTCGCTGTGAGGACCATTTTAGGGACACAACACATGAGGATGCCAGTGGGCGAATTGTCCTAGTTGTCTTGGAAGTTCCTTTGATACAGCTCAAACTCGATTTTTTGCATCGGAAATTCGCTCGCAGCATATCTCGCTCGGTCCCTCGTACCGAATTCTAACTTAAAGGAACCGCATTATTATATACCACACCACTTCGTTTTAAATCCAGGCAGTACCTCGACGACGCTCAGAGTTGTCTTTGACGCGTATTGCCGTACAACATCTCAAAGGTCACTTAACGATCTACTCTTAGTCGGCCCTACCATCCAGGATGAGTTGCACTTGCAAATGCTGCGGTTTCGCATGCATAGGTTCGGCATCACGGCTGACGTTACAAAAATGTACTGGCAGGTACTTGTGGGTGAGAAGGATAGAAAATTCCAGTACATTTTGTGGCGAGCATCTCCAAATACGGATCTTCAAACCTACCCACTCAATACCGTGACATATATGGGACTGCGTCTGCCCATATCTCGCAACTCGTAGTTTTCATTACTGGGCTGAGGATTGTAAAAATGCATGGCCCTTAGGATCTGCTGCTGTTAAAACTGCCTTTTATGTTGATGACCTTTTGTGTGGGTCTGATGATATAGATACACTCCTCAAACTAAAAACTGAAATCACATCAACTCTCGCTTTTGGTCAGTTTCCATTATGCAAGTGGCATTCAAATCATCCAGGCGTGATGGAAGATGAATCTACGAAGGAAATAATCATTTCAGAAATCTCAGTCAGCAGCACACTCGGCATAACTTGGCATCAACGAAATGATGCATTTAGTTTCACATTCAATCCAAAGGAAGTATATCCCACTATCACAAAACGAACAATTTTGTCAACTGCGTCGCCGCTATTCGATCCAATCGGTCAGCTATCAATTCAATTGCTTGTTTTGAGGCAATACAAGATGCAACACTTGTGTCTTCAACATGTCAGACGAACTGTGAGTAACAGCATGCAAATTGAAAATTAAATTGCTAATGATCAAGCTTTCAGATTTGTGAAGTCATTTCGGATCGACAAAAAAACTTTCAATATGATTTTGGATGTGTTGAGTTCATTTCGTTGCAGATGAACAATCATCAATTGCAACAATCATATGAATATTTCTATCGGAATTTTAAATTGCCTCGAGACACCAGCCTGTGTGGATGGAACTCACATCAGAATACTAAAGCCTGTACAAAACCAATCCGTGTTCTATAATAGGAAAGGATTTTATAGCATGAATGGTGGTGTGTAACTACAACATGGAGATAATTGCTATTGATGCCACGCACCCTGGTTCCGGCCATGACGCCTTCATTTGGAATCACTTTCCTGCTAGGGAATATTTATCCACGACCATTAATGGGCTTTTTTTGGCTGATTCGGGCTACGCTCTAGAGAGTTTTGTTCTGACTCCTTATGGGAGCGCGGAGATAGCCACCTATCAACACAGATTCCACATAAAGCTTACTGGAGCACGAAATATTATCGAACACACCATTGGAGTCCTTAAAAGCCGTTTCCGTTGCTTGCAATGCACTTTAAATTACCCACCAATATTTTGTTGCCAAATTATAAATGTATGCTGTGCCCTGCACAATATTTGTAGAAGACGTAATGACTTAATCGAGGAGGATGTTCGATTTAACGACCCTCTAGACAATGAAAATGAATTCGATGACACTGAAAATAATGGATCATCTATACGAGATGAAATAGCTCAGGCCATTCCTTATTAAAATGCAAATTTTTTCATATGTTTTCTTCTGGGGTCTTCCATCACGCAATTAACCCCAGTGTCGGCCTCCTTGGTCGTACGGGGGGGAAGTCCATACGCTGGCCCATACTCCTTCCAATTTTTTAATAAGAGATGATTTATGCTTTCCCCTGAATATAAAGAACAAAGCGGTAATTTTGAAATAAAAACTTAATTTGCTGCACTTACATTTTGAAGTCCGAATTAAATTGGGCGGGAAACAGCTGTGCTCACCCAGATGTTCTGTTAAATGCGCAAAAATGTATTACTTACCAACGTTCCGATAACCAAATCGGAATGCGTCAGCTGTTTACACCAAAACGAAATTTGTTGTTGCCGTGGCCAATTTTCTACGAATCAAATTTGAGGTTGGGTTCAAATAAAATTATTTATAAAGAAAGCACAAGTTAAATTACCCTGATATAGGTGTCAAGTTTATGCTAATGCATCAATAAGTCATCTATTTTTTTCCTTTTGCAATTAAGGTTCGTTTTGTTGTCTAAAATCCGTTTACTTTTCATTTCGTCAACGAAAATGTTTTCGTTTTGAAAACGAAGAAATCTTGTGGAATGGGAAAACGGGAGCCCCAATTTATGAGATTTCAAAAGTAAATCGGAAAACTTTTGTGAAAGTGAAAAACGGAGCGTAGCGTTATGTGTCAATACATCAAAACCCTGCTTATATTCTCTCAGGAGGCTGTAACGTGAGCGAACTGATCAAGTCTCCGTGGTTTTCGGGTCATACGTTTGTAGTCGAGGATTCGCTAAACTGGCCCGCCACTGGTGGAAAACTTGATGTTGACATGGACGTGGTTAACTCGGAGAAACGGAAGAGTTTGTTCGCTACCGTACAGGAGACAAATAATATCCTCAACATCGTCGATAATATCAGCTCGTACACTCACAGTCTTCGTCTCATTGCTTGGATGTTCATAAGGTTCATAAGGAGATGTCGGAAGCAATCGACGTTTACCACAACCTCACCGACGCCAGATGAACTTCGGTTTGTTTCACATTCACATGATGGAATACTAAATCCCACGCTGCCTTATTTGGAACATTCAACAAACTCATTTTGCAGAGGACATCCGTTTACTTCAGAAGCAGGAATTTTTAAAAAGCAGCTTAAAGTTTCTTACCCCCTTTTTAGAAGTCGTGAACGGATTTGAACTTATCAAGGTTGGTAGACGATTGGAATACTCAGACCTGCCATACGATCAAAAACATCCGTTGCTACTGCCTAGTCAGCTAAAATTTGTATGGAACTGTATTCGCCATTTGCATCTTAACGCCAGAGAGTTGGCACGTCGAATTGTCCGCTCCTGTCTACACTGCGTTCGCTACAGACCAAAGCTGCTACAATAACTACCGCCTACGCGATCTGCTCCTGCTAGACCTTTTGAACGCTGTGGAGTTGACTTTTGAGGACCCATCAACACAAATCTACGTATTCGAGGAAAGGGACCTACTAAATCATACATACCCACGTTCGTTTGGCTTCTCACCAAAGCCGTTCACAACGAAGTAGTATCTGACTTGTCAACAAAGGCATTCTTAAATGCATTGAAACGGATGGGCTGTCGTCGCAAGTTGCCGGCAGACATCTTCTGCGATAATGCCACTAACTTTGTAAGGGCATCGAATCAGCGGCATGAACTAAAAAAGGTTATGTTCTTAAAGTAGACACAGGCCGTCAGCCATCGGGTGCTACAGGGGGACAAACGGATGACAGGTCGGCTCGCACAACTGTGAACTCGGAACTGAGGCGCAGCCGCTTCGGTTAGTAAAACCCGGTGCGGCCTGCGTCCCACACCCCCTAGGACACAGAGGGTTGCGTAACTGTACACACCGGTGGACGTGCGACTATACTCTCCCCGTGAGGGCGGCTGGAAACAGGTCCTGGCACGGACATGTCTCTGCCAGGATTCTGGCGAATGGTAGTCGGGCGGAGAGAAGAAAACTCTCAGTGAAATTACCCCCAATCCAAGGTGACACTGTTATATGCCGAGGGATGCATGGCCGGGGGGTGCCCGGTCACTAATATGCGGACTCTGGATACCTGCCGACCTCCAGTTTAAATTTGGCTTCCCGGGGCAAGCGGGCTATGCCTCGGGTGACCAACCCCTGCCCGCCTACTCGTGGGAACAACAATGCCAAATAAATCAAATATAAAAAACAAAAACACGGCAAAGGAGCTCGGTACTCCTCTTAAAGTACTTAAAGTACAAGCTAATCCCTCTGTACCAGCGCCTGGGAAACCAGGTCCAAAGAAGACGGGGAACGAGACTGAGTCGTTCCACCGTCTTCAGGCAGCAGCCGCAGCGAGGGGGGGCCCAAAAAGCCAATCGGGTCCTTCCAAGTCGGGTGGCTCCAAGGGCGAGTCGGATACCGGGGTGGCTGCCAAGCAGAGCGTAATCGCAGTTGGTAAACGCACCGGGACCGAGGAACCCATGGGGGCCCCGGCGAGCAGCGTCTCTGCACCACGGGAGGAAAGCCGTCGTACCAGGACAGGAGACGAGCGGCTTTCAACCTGTCCAACTTGGAACTTGGAAGGAAAGGAGCAGAGGCTGTGGGCCTCCTCAATCCTGCCACTATTCCAGCCAGCCAAAGCCGGAAAGGGCGCAGCCAAGGCCCCAACAAGCGGCAACGGTCAGCGGAGGACCCCGCTAATCAGCGAGGCCAAGCCCAGCAAGCCACGAACCGGTCGTTCGCTGAGGTGGCGAGGGGCAAGACCCTGATCGGTGTCCTGGACTGGGGCGCCGAGGACGGCACTGTTCCTCGCGATAAGTGGCACCTGGTGGTGAACGAGCTGCAGGACCGGTTCCTACAGGAACTGGAGGAGAACAGCGGACCACCGCCAAAGTGTGAGGACGCAGGGTGGCATCAAGGCAAGGTGAAAGCCATCGCCTGCCAAGACGCACGCTCTGCGGACGACATCCTGGAGGACCACGCGTTCGACGAGAGCGACCTAGCCAGAGGTCTCAGCCATATCTTTGTCGTGGAGGAGCCGGATTCCCCCGACAGCGATCTAGAAGCAACAATGGTGGAGGTGAGACTCAGGAATGTCACTGATGATCCAGCAGATAAACCTCCACCATTGTAAGGCAGCATGCGCTGCTCTACTTCTCCACCTGGCCAAGGAGCCGACATAGTCCTCATTCAGGAGCCCTGGATCCTCGGAAACAGGGTCTCCGGTCTGAGGACTTCTGACTACAAGCTATACGTAGCTGAGACCGCAGGTAAAATTCGTACCTGCATTCTTGCAAAGAGAGAGTTGCACTTATTTTTGCTCCCAAATTTCAGCAGTGAGCCTCGAAGGCCAAGAGCGCTCACTCAGGATCTGCTCCGCATGCATGGGGCATGATCAACCAAACCCCCTCCACACGCGCCTCGCCAGGCTCTAATCGCAGAATGTTCGGCCAAGGACATCGGCCTATGCCGATGCCAATGCACATCACTGTCAGTGGGGAAGCACTGACACAAACGAAAGGGGTGACTACCTTTTCAGTTACTTACTGACCACTCAGATGGTCTTATTAGTGATCCCACCTTTATTATTAAAAACCGCAAGGAGGTCCTGGACCTCACGCTTGCCTCTCATGAGATACAGAGTAACATTGTATCCTGGAGGGTCCAGGAAGAGCACTCCTTCTCGAACCACAGGTACGTGGAAACTGTTTTCTCCTTCTCAGTACCGAAGCCAGTTCGTTTCCGGAACATCAGGCGGACAAACTGGACTCGGTACTCTGATTACCTCTGTCGTGTTCTCCCCGAGCCCCCATCTGAGGAGGAGTTCTCCACGGAGGCCACGACGCCTGCAATAAGGCGCTCGACAAAGCATGCCCCTCTGGCAAGAACAGAGGCCGGAGAACAACAAAGAAATTGGAAAGCCAAACGCGCTTCCTGGCGTAAGTTCTGCAGCGAAATCGAGAGTAACTCAGAAGCCTCGCGCTTGCGCAAAGTTCTCTCGGAGACAACACCCACCCTGAGCTGCTTGAAGAACACCGACCAGTCGTGGACTACGTCCAGCGATGAATCGCTAAGTCTTCTCCTAAATACTCACTTCCCTGGCTGCGATGAAAACAGACCCAACTACTTCGCGCCTCCTTCTGTCGTCTCAAATGCCATCCTGAGCCTGCTAAACCAGGAGAACATCTCCTGGGCGATCAGAAGTTTTAAACCTAACAAATCCGCGGTCCCAGACGGCATTTTCACAGCGTGTATTCCGTCCAGTCTGATCTCAGACTCCCAGCATGCCTATCGGAAGGGAAGATCCACCAAAACGGCCCTACACTCGATCACATCGATCATCAAAGCGTCCCTTAACTTTAAGGAGTACACACTCGTAGCCTTCCTCGACATAGAAGGCGCTTTTAACAACATCCTTCCGACCGCCATCACGGGCGCACTGACGGATCTGGGGGTTGACTACAGGACGGTGAGCCTGATCGATCAGATGCTGCAATGCAGGACGGTTGAGGCATCACTGAGGACGTCAACGTGCACCAGATTTGTCAGCAGAGGCACACCGCAGGGCGGAGTCCTCTCGCCCCTCCTATGGAACGATATAGAGGGGGGTGGCTGCCGTGTGGTGGCGTATGCGGACGATGTTGCTATAGCACTCTCCGGAAAATTTCCGCAGACGTTGTGTAAATGCATGACAAGTACTCTCACGAAAATGTCGAAATGGGCAGACAAATGCGGGTTAGGCGTCAACCCGTCTAAAACGGAACTGGTGCTTTTCACTAGGAAGTACAAAGTTTCGGCACTGATTCCCCCAAAACTACGTGGGGAAGCGCTAGTCTTTAGCAACAACGCCAAGTATCTTGGCCTAATCCTCGACAGAAAGCTCGACTGGAAATTGAGCATAGAGGACAGAGTAAAGAAAGCCACAGTGGCCCTCTATACTTGCAGGAAAGCTATCGGACTGAAATGGGGAATGACCCCCTATACAGTCCGGTGGCTCTACACCGCCATCATACGA